GTATTTTACAGAAAATAATAATATGTCAGTCAGTAGCATGTGAACTATTAAACAATTGCTCAACAATTGCTAAAGATGTTAAACAAATGCATTTTGCTTGTTTCTAGTTAAAAAACATAATGCATTTCAAAATGTCTATGTGTTTTCAGCATATAAATTAACAAAAAAATGCTTTCTGAACATCTCGGAATAGCTTATAGTATAAGTCATTCAACACTGATCACTACGCCATCTCCAATTAAAAAAAAATAAAATAAAATAAAATAAAATTTTGGACAAAATATATTTTGAAAGTCTGCTCCTCATTTATGTAGCATCACTGTATCCAAAGCATATGAAATTGATGAGACATCACAGTTTTACATCAACGTGTAAATATAATAAAATTCAACTTATAAATTCACTCACCGGCGTTGTACCCTAGCTAAGTACGCTCTTAGCTGCACCTGAAAAAATTAATAATACATTCCGATTAATTTTGAATTTCATACGCCGACATTTTATTCACTTCATGTGTCAAATGAAAGGATGAGCGGAATAAAAGCATAATTACAAAATCTTGATATTAATAAAAATGGAAATAACTTGCTACTTTTTTATTATACACAAATAAATACAAAATCAAATGAAATTAATGTAATGTCTTTAAGAAGTTACATGCTACAATACTTCTCTATTACGATCAGTATTATACAAAAAAGCTAATCGCCGGAAAAAGGGCCTAAGTAGAAGTTTGCCTTTTTATTCCGTCCATCCCTACAATTATATATATTATCTAATCTTTTTTTATTTAATTATTTCAAGAAATGTTCAACGAATATTTTACGTGAAGCGTAAAAATATTTCTTAAAATAAACATTTTCGAATACTTCAATAAATTTTTTGTAAGTAACGGCAATCATAATTATGCACATATTTAATTCAAAAAGTAAATCTAAATAATGAATTAATAGCTCACCAGCTAGGGTATTGTAGTTTACTTCATCTCCTCGCAAGTTCCTCCTCAGAAAGGCCCGCATCAATTCTAGAAAAGGATGAACATTGGATACGGATGCTCTACTACGCATAATTTCAAAACTTAATTCGCGCGTCAATGAAGGAAAGGCGATTTCACGCCAATGATTGCGTTCAGCAGACTCAACTGTCGCGGAGCAGATTGGTGTGTGTGTGTGTGTGTGTGTGTGTGTGTGTGTGTGTGTGTGTGTGTGTGTGTGTGTGTGTGTGTGTGTGGGTGTGTGTGTGTGTGTGTGTGTGTGTGTGTGTGTGTGTGTGTGTGTTTGTGTGTGTGTGTGTGTATGAGTGCTCACTATTAGATGCTCTAGAAGAATACACGAATAACAGCGAGCGCTCCGCACATTAAATTAGCTGAACGCGACCAACGTTGCAACGTCCAAATGAATCACGCTCGTCCTGCAACGTAGATTATTTCCGTTGAACATATATTTACGTATATAACGATCTGTTTCTTTGATACATCACGTCTCTAATGTCGATCGTGTCCCGACTATCCGAAAAGAACGTACGACTCAGAATTGCGCGCCTAAAACAGGGATCGGCACTCTCCTTCTCGCACTCATTTCGATGCTTATATCATGGCACAGTCTCAATTATATACGACGAACTCGTGGCAGTCATACACTCATCACTTTAATCGGCACTCCCGATATAAATTCGCGCCCATAACGCGTTCCCGACCGATCAATTCGCAATTAATCACGGAGCGACTGCTTTCTCTATCCGAACTAAATGAGCCGCCGAACTGTCATGGCGGCCGGAGTCAAAGTACCTTTACATGTGAATGTCGAGCGTCGAGCGTCAGAGCATGCGCAGTTACGTATTCAATAATTTTACTGAAATTATGATATTGGATTCGATTACGCGCTGCTGATAAACGAATCTTATACGATTAATCTTGTTGATTATATAATGTAAACAAATGTAAATTTTAAGTACTATATGTTAGGATAGCAGTGCAATCTGTAACAGCACCTTAACGGCCACGCCTGCGCAATACTGAGATAATTTGAAATATGAACGATTTGAATTGACGGGAGTTAGACTTTTTTTTTGCGTTTTTGAACAACTACGACAATTTAGTTAATATTTTTTTTATAATAATTTAAGTAGAAGTGTGAAAATTTATGAAAAATGCGAAAAAAAGCGAACTTCGAGAAAAACATTGTTAATTCAAATTTGACGTATACACGTAGAACGTTTTGCAAGTCTGTTCTGCAATAGTCGTGCGTCGGTATGTAAACTGATCAGCCAATCAAATTCTCTACATATATTGTAAAATAATTTAACGTATAAATGCTAATTAAATCTACCTAATCAGCAGACAATGTGTTTAAAACGTTTTCTAAATATTCACTTAACGTAAAAATATTTAATAAATATTTAAAAAATATTTTTTAAATATTGTGTGCTGATTGGATAGTTTTATAATCGGACTATAAACCGAGTAACAATAAAGTACACAAATGTAATTGTGTAGACAATTAATTTACATTCAGTGTAGATTAGGATATGTTCACAAACATCGATTATGATTAATAACTTGTTTTACTTTGTTTAATTTGTCGAAATGTTTCAAAGCATTTTTTAATTAGCTAATTAATAAAATTCTTCTAATTGTTCAATTAAATACTTCGGAGTACTTGTAATAGACTGCACAAAACCGTCAAAAATTAACCATAGTTAATTATTTTTCACAGTAACACATACAAAAAAAATATAAACAGGGGTAAAGTAATAAACTATGAATGTGCTGAACTGTGCAATTCTCTAATGAGTATTTATTGTGGATATCATAATAAAGTATCTCTGCAAAGCTCACTAATTGTAAAATTGTTTATGAAACTAATCTAGTCAAAGTAGCATGTCAAAAATAATTGCAGTATTTTAATCAATCATGGCGCATCTTAATTAATTACTTTACACATAAACCACTCTTAACATTTACATATTATTGTATATATGTATGTACATGCATATACGCTTTTCTACACATTTTTGGATTCTGGACTGCATTGAGTTTGAAACGACCGATGTTTTTCAATTGAATCTCGTCATGACATCTTTACAATTTGACTAAATAAGATTACGAAGATTCGATCGCGTGCTTCTTTACACTAATTACGCAGATCCAGGACAAAAAGGTTGTTTCGAAACAATTCTTTCTCACAACGATTTTATATTATAATTTAGTTTTCGTAATGTTGGATCGCATCTTGAGGAAATGCCACGTGGAAAACACTGGTGTAATTGACGTCATTAATTATACTATAGACATCTATTAAGTCGATTTGATGACAGACTGTTCGCCGAGAAATATCAAATCAGTCGCATCTCGTATCACATAACGACGTAGTTTATCTCTTGTTGATGTATATATCGCGAATTTGATCCGTCAGCCACTCGATCGCCGGCTGCAGGCCCTCGCCAGTTAATGCATTTGTCGCCCGTATATGCCAGGGTTTATTTTGTATTCGCTCGAGTCCAAGTCCAGCGACTAATTTTACGGTGGTCAAAGAATCAGGCAGGTCCATCTTGTTCGCCAGGAAGAGAATGGGTATCTTGCGTCCTGAAAAGTTTACTTCTGCTTTCAATTTCTGTTACTTAAGAAATTACCAATTGTGAAATACGAACATTCGAAAGAATTTAGATTCTAGATCTTCTAACTGATTGTCTATTTTGTATTTCTGTGTTAAACGAGCACTTGCTATTCGAATTTTATCATCTATGAAGTGTACCTGCAACATCGGGATGCTGCAGGAGCATGTCCAACTCTTCTTTCACAACAACCAGTCGCAGTTTATCGCTGCTGTCAATTATGAAGATGATCCCGTGGCAATCTTTGTAATAATGCTCCCACAATGATCTATGACGGTCATGGCCCGACATATCGAACGCGGTGAAACTGACATTTTTAACTGAAACAATTTCGGCTTAATCGCACCAATGAAGTAAAAACAAAGCCCTAATAATATATTACGCGAACTATATATTAATATTATGTATTATATATA